TGCAGGCGCAGGGCCATCCCTCCCCCCTCAGTGGGGGGCCCAAGATGGGGGCTGGGGTCACACCGCTTGAAGGGCCATTGCTGAGCCTCAGGGAAGCTGAGCGCATGGCCCTTGAAGGTTGAGGGAGGCCCTGTGTTTCAGGTCCGTGCCTCTGGGACCCCTGGAGGCCCTGGCCCCCTGACGCTGAAGGAGGTGGAAGAACTGGAGCAGCTGACACAACAGCTGATGCAGGACATGGATCAGACTCAGAGGCCGGGCGCGGCCCCCAGCGGTGAGCCTGCCGTGCCCATGCCCCTCACGTCGCCCGGTGCCCCCCCCTCACCTCACTGCCCCTGCTCCCCAGTGCTTCTGCAAATGCCCACCTCCCGCTCCCCAGGGCCCCTCCTCACTACCCTGCCTCCTACAGATCTCTGCGGCCGCTGCCACCAGCCGCTGGCCCGAGCCCAGCCTGCTGTCCGAGCGCTGAGCCAGCTCTTCCACATCACCTGCTTCACCTGCCACCAGTGTGCCCAGCAACTGCAGGGCCAGCAGTTCTACAGCCTGGAGGGGGCTCCCTACTGTGAGGGCTGTTATACAGTGAGTGCTGCTGGGGTGGGCCAGGGCTGTTGCCTGGTGGGAGTGTGTCCTGGCAGCCTGCCCACTGCTGCCTGCTTGCCCCCTGCAGGACACCCTGGAGAAGTGCAGCACGTGTGGGCAGCCCATCACGGATCGCATGCTGCGGGCCACCGGCAGGGCCTACCACCCACACTGCTTTACTTGTGTGGTCTGTGCCTGCCCCCTGGAAGGGACGGCCTTCATTGTGGACCAGGCCAATCAGCCCCACTGTGTCCCCGACTACCACAAGTGAGGACCCCTGCCCTCTCTGCCCAGTATCCCCTGTAGCTGCGCCCACCCCCACCCCCGGCCATGGTCTGGCCTGGGTGTCCATACTTTTTGGCCAGGCTCACTTTATGCTTGTGGAGTGAGTCAGTGTCCAGTGTTTCTGCAGCCAGGTGGGCTTTAGAAGTCCCTGTGGCTCTTTAGAAGTTGTGATGCCCCTTGGGCTAGACTTCTGAGACCCTGCCTCAGGGGCAGTTCTCCACTTCCCCTGTGCCCACAAGCTCCCTTAGTGTCCCACCCCCTTCTTCCTAGCAATAGACCAAAGGACTGCAGGAGCCCCAGGGCTGGGCTGAGCAAGGGTTCAGGGCCAGGGAGCCAAGGGCAATCCCTTTCCTGTGTGCTCTGGGGGTGAGGACGGAGCCTGGTGGCCAGCAGTGGGCCTCGGGACAGGCGGGGAGGCACGCACCGCGGTGTCCATGCTGACCCATGCCCGTTGCCCTGCAGGCAGTATGCCCCGAAGTGCTCTGTGTGCAGCGAGCCCATCACACCAGAGCCTGGCCGGGATGAGACCGTGCGGGTGGTGGCACTGGACAAGAACTTCCACATGAAGTGCTACAAGTGCGAGGTGCTCGCCTGGCTTCCTGGGTGCTGGGGTGGGCTCACCCACAGGTCAGGGAGCCC